TCCTTGCGCTTGCACAGCAGGTGGTGAAACCACTGAGCTAAATCCCTGGCCCCAGAATGACCTTGATTTTAACCTTGCTCACACTGAGACAGTCTTGGGAACAGCAGAATAGACAGTTTTTGAAGTTAAGTGGATCTTGATCAAAGTCTTGGCTTACATTTTGCCTCTGCCACTACTACCCAGGCAGTCTTGGGTAACTCCTATAAGCTCTTGAAGTTTCAGTTTTTATTTTTCTTTTCTTTAAAGTGCAGATAATAATACCCACCTTGAGGTTTTGTTGTGAGAAGGAGAGATAATGTATATAAATCTCTGGTGCTTATTCACTGTGGCCTATGTGGGTGGGTTGTCACCCAGCCCATCTCCTGCCCTTGGTCTGTTGCCTGTGAGCATTTCCCAAGGCCAGCCTGGCACATCTTTATCTCTGGATGCCAGCCTTTGATCCTGAAACTGACATACACTACTACTTCATAGACATTTGTTCAGTGAATGACTTGGAATGTAAAAAAATTCCCCTGAAGCCTGCCTGCAAAGTTCATTGTAGTCATACCACATGTTTAGAATTGACAGTCTGAGAACTCATTTGAAATGAATTCTTGCTCTTTGTTGTTTTTCTTTTTTGGTACTGGGGATCAAACTCGGGACCTTGCACTTGCGAGGCAGGTGGCAGAACCACTGAGCTAAATCCTTGGCCTGAATTCTTGTTCTTTGAATGCTATCCCTGGGTATTCCTGGGTCTGGGACCCTCCACTGGATATCAAAATTTATGGATGCTCAACTCCCTCATGTGAAATTGGCTTTGAATAGGCACACAACCTATGCAATCCTACCATATACCTTACATCATCTCTAGATTACTTTTAATACCCAATACAATGTAACTGCTACACTGTATTGTTTAAGGAATAATGACAAGAAAAATATCTGCATGTATTCAGTACAGATGCATTTAAAAAATATTTTCAACCTTTGTAGATGTGAAACTCACAGATGCAGAACTTGAGGCCCCTGAGGATAGGGAGGCTGAGGATAAGGAACCTGTGGATGTGGAGAGCTGACTGCATTTCTTTCCATATTGCAGACGCCAAATGATGCTCCTTTTTCTTTCTTCTCTTCTCTGCTATTATTATTTTTTACTCCTTAAATGAAACTGATCCTATATTTAAGAAGAGCTTTTGGAAGAAGCTTTGATGGAGATGAAAGCTGGGATTTGGTTTTAGCACTGAAAAACACTGGTGACTCTAGAAAGACGAAGGGAAGCTGATTGGGAGATCTGCCCAGTACAAGATGGAGGTCTTTTGAATTCCCTCTAAAGTTTGATTTGATAGGTTCTATATGGTTCTGATAAGTTACATTGAATTTAGCTCTTACATAAATATGGAGCAGGTCAGATTTTCATTCTGGCTCCATGCAAATTGTTATCTCCTGTCAAGTAATCAATTGGCTACTTTAACAAAGTCACAGTGTGTGGTATTCTTGACATAAATATATTAACTTTGGTCCAAAGTTCCTTTTCTAAACCTATTTTTCAGACTGCACTTTGCTCTGATCAAAAATAGGGTTACTTGGGCTGGGGATTTAGCTCAGAGGTTCTGCTGCCTGCCTCGCAAGCGCAAGGACCCAAGTTCGATCTCTGGTAGCAAAAAACAAACAAACAAAAAATAGGGTTGCTTCCTTGGTAATATATTTGTCCAAGGACAAGTCTTCATGAGTAATCTCCACAGGAACAGGAAGTAGATTTATTTTACCTTAAAAAGTTTGTTAGATGCCAAAGCTGCATGTGAAAAAGATATGGGTTTATGTTCTTTTAAAATTGATTTAAAAGAGTGGTGGCTAATATTTTTCACCCAGTTGGTATCACTGAGTTTGAATTTAACAAAGGTATTTCCAGGGGCTCTTCTGGAACATGACCAGGCAGGTGTTTTATATGTGGTACAGCCTCTAAGACTTCTCATGGAGGCAGCAGATTCCATGTGTTGTTTTCAAAAGTCCAGAAACCTTCCAACTGTTGTCAGCCCTCCACTCAAAGTGTCTTTTTAAAAATGCAGATCTGATTGAGTCGGCCCATTGTTTGAAGACCTTGCTGATGATCCAGCTCCTTACAGGAAAGCCTAGAGACATCTCAGGCTTCCAAGACCTGACCCTCATCTCACCCTCCCAGCAAGCTTTCTGGCTTCTACACAGCTTCAGTAGAGACTTTCACTTCTCCTCTCTCTCTTTTTGGTATCAGGCATTGAACTCAGGACCTTGCGCTTGCGAGGCAGGCCCAGAGCAACTGAGCTACATCCCCGGCCCTCTCTCTCTCTTTTAAAAATCAAAATGAAATTCACATAACATAAAATGAATTATTTAAGCAGAGCAATCCAGTGGCATTTAGTACATTGACAATGCTGCATGACTATTGCTGCTGTTTGGTTTCTGCACATTTTCCTCACTCCTAAAGAAACTTCCTCACTCCCCTTGCCCTGGCAGCCACCAGCCTGCATTCTGTCTTTATGGATTCTTGATATTGCATGTAAATGGAATACTATAATTTGTGACCTTTGTGTCTGGGTTCTTTCACCAAGTGTAAAGTTTACAAGGTTCATCCACGTGGTAGCAGATACCAGAACTTCATTCCCTTTCCGGGCTGAGTAATATTTCACTGGATAGACATATGACAATTTGTTGATCCATTCATCCTTTGATGGACATTTGGGATGTTTCTACCTTTTGACTACTGTGAGTAGTGCATGCATTTATTTGAGTATCTATTTTCTATTCTTTTGGATAAACTATATATGTATGCACAGAGTTGCTGGCTCAGATGGTAATTCTGTGTTAAATGTCTTGAGGAATCACCAAACTGCTTTCCTTTCTTCTGTTTTGTGTTCCACTACATTCAAGGAAATTTCATAATCCCAGCATTCTGGAAGGTTGAGACAGGAGGATCACAAGTTCAAGCCCAGCATAGGCAACTTAGTGACTTAGTGAGGCCCTAACTCAAAATAAAAAAACAAAAAGGACTGGGAATGTAGTTCAGCGGGCTCAATCCCCACTACTGCAAAATAAAATAAAATAATCTCTATTATAGTTCAATTATAAGATGCCTCTGATTATCATAGTTCCTATATATACTCAAGGGCAGGGATTGTGTCTTGAATGCATATGTGGATCTCCAGTACTTGGAACAGGGGTGCACAAAGCTGACCCTCAGAAGGCTCCTTGGGGTTGACTCTGAAGGGATCACATGCAGTTCTGGCCTTAAGGAATGTGTGGCATATGTGGAACGGCTTTGGAATTTGGGAGATGAGTGAAGTGAGGACAGGAAGTAGACGAGGCCTGGAAGCCCTGACCAATCCCTTTGAGCAAAGAGAAAGGAAGATCAATGTGGTAGAACTAGTTATCCACATGCCTGGCTTTTACTATTGGTTTATCGTTGACTAACTCATTATAATTATCTAGGAAGTTAAATTCGAATCCTCTTTGTCAAATATTTTATTGATTATTTTAGTGATGTTCAATGTTTTTGTTTGCTTTAAGCAATGAGAGCATATTTTCCCCATATGAACTCATGAATGAAAGCACAGTGTGGTTGGAGTGTGCACTGGATGGGGAGGGAGTCGAGGGAGGGCAGAGTGCAGGGCGGGGCCGGGACCTGGCTTGATGTCCCCTCCACCACCCCAACATGTAACCCGAGGTGCTCGGCAGGACTCCCAGGTCCCTGTATATTCTGAGTTTCTCCCAGTGGCTCTGAGAGGCTTTTGTTCTACAAAGATGGAGGAAGCATCAACAAGCACATATTATCCTTCAAAAAATATATTTTTTTTCTAGGCAGTAGAGGGGAACTGATGATTTAAAGAGCAACCAACGTAAAGGCAGGGGTGTAGTTCAGTGGTGGAGTGCTTGCCTAGCATGCATCAGGCCCTGGGTTCCATTCTCAGTACAAGAAAGAGAAAAACAACTTAAAAGAAAAACAATTATTTTTTTGGAGAAATTATAGTAAGTAAACAACTTAAAAGAAAAAAATTATTTTTTTGGAGAAATTATAGTAAGTAGAAAGAGAAAAACAACTTAAAAGGAAAACATTATTTTTTTTGGAGAAATTATAGTAATTTTGGCTAAAGGGGGTTTCCAACCCACTTCTCATCATTTTATACTTAAAGTGAAAAGATATTGCAGGCAGATTTCATGACCAGAATTGCCAAGTATTTCTATTCTCCTAACTGCAGGGATTCCTGCCTCATGAGAGCACATCCTGCTCTGTCCAGAAGCCAAGCACAGGCGTGGGCAGGCCTGGTCTTGTCTTTACTCTTGGGGCGCCTTTCTTTTCTCTGTCTCCCTCTCTTCTGGTGAACTGTCTTGAAAACATGACCTTTCTACTCCACCCCCACGTTGTCTTTTCTCTCTAATTCTTTGCTTCTGAATTAGTCTGCAAATCTGGGGGTTAGCTGAGTCCTCCAAACCATTTCCGGACATGCTGGTGGCATCAGCAAACCTTACTCAACCATGATTATTGCTGACGCTTGACTTCCTGCGGTTCTGTTTGGTTCTTTATTTCTGCTGAAGCTCATTTGTAGGCAACACTTCTGGAAATACACTGTCTGAAACTCAAAATAACTTCTATTTTTTCAGGTTGAGAGACAGAATTTATTTTAGGGAATGAGATCAAAAGATGGTTTACACAGACGTCTGAATTAGCCCCCAACCCCCATGTTCTCCTCGTTAACACTCCCACTTGCTGGCATGCAAGTGTAGCTTAAGCTGTGATAAGACTAACAGTATTGGTAATCCAGAATGATCCCTCTCACTGACTTTTAGTGAGGCTTTTCTTGAAATTCTACAACTTCTTTCTAAAAGACAGTTCTGAGTGACATTTTTTGTACTCAAGCATGATGATAAAAATAGGAACTTGTTTTAACACCCAGTGATTTCCCTTCCTTAGCTTTTGCTTCAAAATGGGCATAAATATAAATGCTGCAATATTTTCACTATCTCTTTAACAGCATATTTTGGGGACTTACAGTTTTCCGGAGGGTGCCCATGTGGGGATAATCCCTCTTGCTCCACCATGATGGTAGCCGGCCAGTGGCGAATCCAGAGCTGTAATCCTTTAAATAGCTTGTCAGAAATGATTTAGAAAAGCCAAAGTCTGTCTTGTAAACCTCAGAACTTGTCTCAGAAACCTTGCCTCGATCAGCTTCCAAGGTCTAATGCAACATGATTATTTTCCACTGGGGAAACCTGTAGAACAGGTCTTCGAACTCCATGGCATGTGCCAGAGTTTATAATTGATTCCTTACCTTGTCTACCTGCCCCTTAATAGCAGTGCTCCATGCAGGACGTGTTTTACAGGAATAGTCACCCAGAGCTTAATTTGTTGTTTCATAGCAGATGATTTCACAATGAATGAAATTAAATTTGTTTTGCATCCTGTGAATTTCTGCTTGATGAATTTGCCCTTCTGATACACAGCATGAAAGCCTTGCTACTCTCCAGTCAGTACCCATGTGGTTCCGGGGACCACTTAGTCATGCTCCTTGCCAGTTCTGGAAAAAAGTTGGGTAGAGAAGAAGGAATATCCTACAAGAAGGAGTATCCTCTGGTCTTTAGTTCACAGACCACAAGAGAGAGGTGATCCTCACACCCTTATTTTAGACCCAGATAAAATTCCTTCCCCTATATTATCTTCTTTAATCTTCCTGATAACATTATAAGAAGGGCAGAGCAGGTATCATTATGTCCATTATACAGATAAGAAAACTGAGGCCTGTAACCTACTCAATAGCCAACCAAGGACTAGAAAGCCAACCAAGGACTAAATAGCCAACCAAGGACTAGAAAGCAGATCACTTTTTAGTAGTTATTGCCTTCCCTAGAAAGCAGCCAAGACTGCTCCACCAAGGTCTTGTGGCACAGAACCCCTCACCCAACATGCACTCATTCAATCAACAAACATTTGTAATGAGTATGAAGTTTGGGGCTCAAAATTTAGATCTACAGAAAAAGGTAGTTTTATTTCTTTATAACTTCAATTAAATTATGTAGTCAATTCTACCTTTTTTCAGGTCAGACATTTTCCTCTCCTTCCTTTTTCTCAGGGTTGTAAGTTCAAACTATTGCAGCATGTGTGGGGAGAGAGAGAGAGAAAGAGAGAGAGACCCTTTTTGCCTCATAATGTCTCAATGTATTTGCTTTATGTATTTGAGATTCCCTGCTAGATTGGGGGGGAGGAGATATTATTAGGGGTCATAAGGATGAGCAGATGGTGACCCTTGCTCAAAATGTTCAAAATCTAGGGCTGGGGATTTAGCACAGTGGCACAGTGCCTGCCTCTCAAGTGCAAGGTCCTGAGTTCAATCTCTGGTACCCGCCCCCCCCCCCCCCCAAGGCTCAGAATCTAGTGAGAGAGGCAGAGAAACAAACAGAGGGGGCCCTAAGTGAAAATCAGGCTTAGAAAGACAGTGTAGCGCCAAGGGTTTAGCTCAGTGGTTCCGCCGCCTGCCTTGCAAACACAAGGTCTGAGTTCGATCCCCAGTACCAAAAAAAAAAAAAAAGAAAGGCTGTGTGACCTAAAGCAGTGCAGTGGTGCTAGCGGCCTCAAAGGAGGTACAAGGTGACAAGTGGGCCTTTCTGGGAGACCTGGTGCCAATGCCACAGTTTCCCTGTTCCCAAGCCATGTGGTGTTCACCACTTTGGGTAATTGATCTGAGCTGAGATCCACGTGGAAAGCTGAAGGAAATTTAATAAGAAAACAATTATAATCTGTACCTATGATCTCACTGGATCTTGTCCATCCCAGTGAGAGCTAACAGGTTATCCCCATGTGGCCCATATAAAACCAGAGTCACTCAGTGGCCTCTTCGCGGTACCATTCCTTGCTGAAAATCAGCAATCTGCCATTGCAAAATAACTTGACCTTTCACTTGTTTCGCAAACACTCCTGAAAGACAGGATGCCCATGGCATAGAGCCAATCCCCTCCTCTCTCATCTTCTCTTTTCTCTCCTCCCTCTCCCTTCTCATTTGTTCTATCAAACTGTCTGCTTGCCAATCATATATCTATCACCCACTCAACTGTTGCACACCAAGCTTTTTTATTTCCTCAGTCCAAACACATAGCCCAAATCTCTCAAGCTAAACTGGTATAAAATAAACACTTTAAACCTCTGCCTGCTTCACATTTGGTTCTTTTTATAGGTTCTATTTTCTTGCTGAAAAATTTTATTTTACCATTCATTTCAAAAGTGTTTTCCTTTATCTCCTGGACTATGTTAATTTTGATAGCTGTTTTAACTTCTTTCATAATTCCAACATCTGAATGATCTTTTGATTGTCTTTTCCATTGACACTGAGATATGTTTTTATTCTTCTTTGTATGTCAAGTAATTTTGGATTGTATTCTGAACATTTCAAATACTACTTTATGAGACTCTGGAACTTATTAAAATCTCTAAAAAATGTTGATTTGTGTTTCGGCAGGCCCTGTTGGGATCACATTGCAAGTTCTATATACTCTTCTCTGTGTAGTTTTTCCAATGAAACTTTACTTTGTAAACCTTTGCTATGGGGTTTTGAGTGTCCCATATTTGTGCCACATTAGGGTCAATCCAAGATTTGAGTAGTGTCTAAATAATAATTCAGATCTCAAGGACTTTTCTTTGTTGCTTTGGATTTTTCCCTTGTGTGTAAAGCTGAAGTTCAGGCCTGGGCATAGTGCAGATTTATCTATAGAATTAGGTAACTCCTTTCTTGTACAGTCAGCTCATGAATACCCTTTTCCTGGCAAGAAATATGGTTTTTTTCTTAGAGTTTTGTCACTTTTACCCTAGGAACTGCAGCACAGTTCCATGACTAGGACCTGCTTTTAAGGCAAAGAAGCAAAAGGAAAAACATAAAAAGAAAACAAGGTTTCTTCACAAACTTTGAGACTTCAGGGACTTCTTTCTCCAGTTATTCCAGCCAAGGAAACAGTTTTGGCTGCTTGTACTGATACTGCACAATTCTGTGATGAGGAATAAGGGGAAGGGAGCAAAACTTGGAAGCTTGTCCTTGTATAGTTTGCTACTACAAGTTTGACTCCCATTACCCATCTGCCTGCTTATGTTTACTTTTCAGGCAGTTACTTGTTATATTTTGTTCATAGTTTTTTGTTATCGTTAGAGTAAGGACAAAGGTGATGCAGTGGATTTTCTAACTTGTTTGGCACCAGAAGTCCTAATACTTTTCAGGCTTCATATTTTTATTTTATTTTATTATTATTATTATTATTTTTCAGTTCAGTCAAATTTTACTTTTTTTTCCATTAAATGATTGGTATGTTTTAGGTATACAATACAGTTACATTCATCACTGGGAACTTGTACCTTTACATGATGTATCTTGGTTCTTATTTTTTCTCCATTCCCCTGCCCTCACTTCAACCCCTTTACCCCTCCCTATTTACAAAGACTTTGTTTCCAATTTTTCCTTTTCTCATATTAATTCCATTCCCTTCTTTCCTTTCCCCAACCCCTCCCACTTCCCCTAACCCTTTAGACCTTTCCTTCTTATTTCACATTATCAATTACACATTTTGATCCTTATTTATACTTTGAGTTTTTCACACTGTTCGATATTTACATGTGTGTGTCCTATTTACTTCACTTAAGAATATGGTGTCAGTGTGCATCCATTTAGCTATAAATGTGTCTAATTTCTCATTCTTTATGGCTGAGTAGTATTCCATTTTTTAAATCCAGTCTCCAGTTGATGGGAAACTGAGTTGTTTCCAAGCTTTAGCTATTACAAACTGTCCCGCTATAAACATGGGTGCATATATATCACTGTGGTATGATTCTTTTAATTATTTTGGGAAGATACCCAGCAGAGGAACAGCTGGGTCAAATGGGACCTCTAATCCTAGTTTTTGGAGGTATCTTCATACTGATTTCCACAGTGCTTGCATCAGTCTGCACTCCCATCAATAATGGAGAAGGGTTCCTTTCTCCCCACCACCCCGCCAGAGTTTGTTATTGGTTGATTTCTTGATAGCAGCCATTCTTTCTGGAGTGAGGTGGAATCTCAGTGTTGTTTTCATCTGCATCTCTCAAATGACCAGTGATGATGAACATTTTTTCATGTGCTTATTTGCTGCTTTTACTTCTTTGTCTGAGAAATGTCTGTTCATTTCAGATGCCCATTTTTGAATTGGGTCTTTATATTTGGAAGGTTTGATTTTTTTAAGTTCTTTATATATTCTAGATAGTAGTCCTTTGTTGAGGAACAGCTGCTAAAATTTTTTTCCCACATTGTAGGTTGTCTCTTAGCTCTGTTGGTGGTTTCTCTTGCAGTGCAGAAGCTTTTTAATAAGATGAGATCCCAGTTGTTGATTCTTTGTGCTAGTTCCTGTGCTACTGAGGTTTTGTTTGTAAAGTCTTTTCCTATGCCAACGTTTTCAAGAGTTCTACCTAACTTATCTTCCAGCAAGTTTAGTGTTTCTGTTTTAATATTTTGATCTTCAATCTACTTCAATTTTACTTTAGTGCATGGTGAAAGCTAGGGGTCTAGTTTTAATCTTTGACTGTTGAAATCTAGTTTTTCCAACACCATTTATTAAACAGGCTATCTTTCCTCCAGTATGATGATTATTATTTTATGGTATTGAGGATTGAGCTTAGGGCCTTGTGCATGCTAGGCAAGTGCTCTACTGTTGAACTACATTGAGCCCCTGGCTGTTATTGCTATGAGAAATCTTGGGCAGAAAAATAAAGCAAGAGCCTTAAGTGGGAAGAATATGGGATTTTTCTCTTAGATAAGTCTGGGCTTAAATGACTTCACTACGTATAAGTTCACGACCTTGAGCATAACCTCCCTAATTTCAGTTTCCTCATTGGGCTAATGAGGATAATGATAGGATCTGCCTCATGGAGTTGCTATGACTATTAAAAGAGACAAGGCTAGTAAAATATTTTTCACTGTTTGACTAGTGGTAGAGGCTTAATAAATTGAAGTTATTGTGGTCATGATGGTGGTGATAATTATTGTTGTTGTGTTATATAATAAAAC